AGTCTGAGTTGCGACCATAGTTTTAGTTAGGTTTGTTGCTATGGTTCAGTTTGGTAAATTCAAACCTTTATCAAAATTGGCTCTTAAAAAATTATATGACATATTTTTCATATCTATTTTGGAAAAGGTTGGATATTGATCATTGAAAAAAACAATGTCATTCTTATACCCACTTAAATTTTAACTGAATCAGTACATGTGTAGTTTGCATGACTAATTTTGTTTTTAATTACTTGAAACAGCAGCTCATCGCTTGATCTGTATGAAGTTTAATTTCACCCTTTTTTATTTTCATTTACATGCTATAGCTACGATGTATTTCTCTTTAATTATGTATAAGTCTTAATGTCAAATTGTATCATATTTACTTTGTATTACATTTATTTGAATTTTTAATGATGTAATTCCACTCAATTCAACTGTTGAGCTGCTATGTGGTTTTTAAGAAATACTTTTCAAATGATTGTTCCAATATACCGAGTAAATGGCCCTTTAACATGCGTGTTTGGAAAAAACAACATTTGCACCGTATAACTATTACTGCTGTTTTTTTCTTGCAATGACCCTCCATGACTTTTACATTAGGACACACATACCTGTATGGATGATGCCTTTGCATTCAATGTAGAGTAGAACTCCTCATTGAGATACCTTCCAAATGTCAGGTAAGTCAGGTTTGGCATAGAACATACTGCTTCTGCAAGGTGATGTGATGAGGCTGGTGTTGGGCATTCCACATCATTAAGCTTGAGAGTCTGTACCTGCATTGTATGTGAATATATTTACCAATAAGCAGCACGACTATACATGCATATCTTTTATTTACTAATTTCCGACTGTATTCTTACATTTTATACAAATTCCATTAATTACATAGTTGTATTCATAATAATATTTTCAACAAAATTGATTGAATAGGTTGTTTTTTCAAATTCAATTCTAGTCTATTGGGAAAAAGAACACACTAAAGTTTTTATGGAGAAGATGATTTAGTAAAAGTGATTTAAAAAAAAAATCTGTATGTATTCTGGAGTACTGGTACCAAAGCTGTGACATCATACAAATCTATTTTTAGAATTTCTCAATTTTTATTTCATTATCCGAAAGAGCATCAAAAATAATGTCTAAATGTCGAAAACCAATTCGATTTTCGACAGTTGTACATTATTTGTGATGTTCTTTTGGAAAATGAAGTTAAAATTAAGAATTTCTCAAAACAGTTTTTTGATGACATCACACTTCACCACTCTTATGGCTTCCAACCCGTTTGCATTGATAAGTCCTTATCCTACTAACACTGAATTTATAAACCCAGGAATAAGCATTTGCTATTAATGAATTACAGGTATTCATAACTCTGGATTTCATGTGTACAATACCCCTAAAGGGATCCATTAACTTTGTCTTACATCCTTTAAAAAAATCCTTGATTTAGCTCATGCTGCCATGATAATTATAAACCTTTCGGTCAGTCAGGAATCCCATGACTTTTACAAGCCAATCGCCTGTCTGATTATCAAGATATTTATGATTGAAAATCGAAATCAAATTTGCGTTTGCCAAACTGTTTTCATAACACTACAGTCTATAGAGTACCGAAGCTGTGACGTCATAAAAATCTATTTTTTGGATCTCTCAATTTTTAATTCATTTTCCGAAAGAGCATAAAAAACAATGTCCAAATGTCGAAAACCAATTGAATATGTTAAGTATTGGCCGAGATATGACCCTTTAAATGAAAAGATTTCCTTTGGGGACTCAGTGTTATATGCTCTGGCTCCTAACCATTTTTTGAGGCACCTCTTGATCATTTTGAAGCGCAAATTTTTTAGGGCTTCAATATAACACCATATCACAGACATTGATAACACGTAGGGCCGTGCATCTCAGATTTAACATTGTTAAACGATCCCTTTAAGTCAGAAGGTTTGTTGCTATGGTTCAGTGTGGTAAATTCTAGCATTTATTAAAATTGGCTCTTACAAAAATATGAATAATCTTATTAATATCAATCAAACTTGGAAAGGTTAAATATTGATTATTGATCCAAACAATGTCAATCTTTCAAACATTTGAATTTCAACTGAATCAGTACATGTGTAGTTTGCTTGAATTCAATGTTTCATGACTGTTCCAATATACAGAGTGAATGGCCTTCAAAACGGGTGTTTGGAGAAAAAAATATATATACATGTGCACTTCACAACTTTTACTGCTGCTTCTGTCATTCAATGACCCTCCATGACATTTATATTAGGACACAAATACCTGTATGGATGATGCCTCTGCTTTCAATGTAGAGTAGAAATCTTCATAGAGAACCCCTCCAAGTGTAAGGTTAGTCAGATTTGACATAGAACACAGTGCTTCTGCAAAGAGATGTGAAGAGGCTGGTTCGAAACACAGGAAACCATCAAGCTTGAGAGTCTGGACCTGCATTGTTTGTGAATATATTTAAGCATCACGTCTATACATGCATATGTTTTACTCACTAATTTCTGACTGTATTCTAACATTTCAGCCAAATTCCATGATTACATAGTTGTATTCATAATAACATTCTAAACAACAAGATGGAACTTCGACTGCACGCAGTCGAAAATAATGCCTCCGCAATAGAGCGATTTCACAAACCAAAACAGAACCAATTTTTAAAATTCAAGTTTAATTGTATTCCATTTATAACAGGTTCTCAGAATATTGTGATTACAAGCTATTTTTCATATACATGTATGACCCTTTTATCTTTGACCTCATGACCCCAAATCTAATCAGTTCATTGGCTCAGCAAGATACATACATGACCTAAGTTTGGCAGAAATCCATCAATCGGTTATTGAGAAAACGCGATCACAAGCTATTTTTGCATACATAATGAGCCCTGTGACCTTTGACCTTTGATCTCGTGCCCCCAAAATCTATTCAAGTCATTGGCTTTGCAAGATACATACATGACCTAAGTTTGGCAGAAATCTATCGATCGGTTCTTGAGATAACGCGATCACAAGCTATTTTTGCATAAATAATGAGCACTGTGACCTTTGACCTTTGAGCTCGTGCCCCCAAAATCGAATCAATTCATTGGCTCTGCAAGATACATACATGTTCTAAGTGTGGCAGGAATCCATCCATTAGTTCTTGAGATAAAGCGATCACAAGCTATTTTGCATACATAATGAGCACTGTGACCTTTGACCTTTGACCTTGTGACCCCAAAATCTAATCAATTCATTAGCTCTGCAAGATACATACATGACCTAAGTTTGGCAGGAATCCATCAATCGGTTCTTGAGATAACGCGATCACAAGAACGGGACGGACAGACGGACGGACAACCCGAAAACATAATGCCTCCGGATACTTCGTAACGAAGGCATAAAAATGATTGAATAGATTTTATTTTCAAATTCAATTCTTGTCTATTGAGAAAAAGAACACACTAAAGTTTCTATTGAGAGGATTATTTAGTAAAGGTATTTTTTTAAAATAATTCCTTATGTTTTCGTTATAGGGATTCCAAACTGTTCGCATTGATAAGTCCGACTCCTACTTACACTGAAATTCATGATACCAATAAATATACATTTGCTATCAATTTGTTAAAGGTATTCATAACTCTGGATTTCATATGCACAAGACCCCTAAGTCAGGAGGTTTGTTGCTATGGTTCAGTTTGGTAAATTTAAGCCTCTATAAAAAAAATGGCTCTTAAAAAACTGTATGACATATTTTTTACTATCAATCAAACTTGGAAAAGGTTGAATTTTGATTATTAGTCAAATCAATGTCAATCTTAGACACACTTGATTTCAACTGAATTTGTACATGTGTAGTTTGCTTTATTCCATGTTTCATGACTGTTCCAAAGGGTGATTGAAGAAGAAAAAAACACATAGCAGTTTATACCTGTGCCCCATATAACTATTACTGCTGCTTCTGTCGTTCAATTAACCTCCATGACATTTACATTAGGACACACATACCTGTATGGATGATGCCTTTGCTTTCAATGCAGAGTAGAAATTCTCATAGAGAGCCCCTCCAAGTGTCAGGTCAGTCAGGTTGGGCATAGAACACAGTGCTTCTACTAGGAGATGTGATGAGGCTGGTGTGGGACACTGGAGACCCTCAAGCATGACAGTCTGGACCTGCATTGTTTGTCAATATATTTAAGCAGCACATCTATATATGCATATGTTAGATTAACTAATTTCTGACTGTATTCTTACATATCACACAAATTCCATTAATTACATAGTTGTATTAATAATAATATTTTTAACAAAATTGATTGAATAGGTTTTTATTTTCAAATTCAATTCTAGTCTATTGGGAAAAAGAACACTAAAATTTATATGGAGAGGATGATTTAGTAATAGTGATTTTTTTTTAAATACTACATGTATTGTTTATAGAGTACCGAAGCTGTGACATCGTACAAATCTATTTTTTAGAATTTCTAAATATTTACTTCATTTTCCAAAAGAGCATCAAAAAAAATGTTCAAATGTCAAAAACCAATTGAATATATTAAGTATTGGCTGAGATATGACCATCTAAATAAATAGATTTCCTGTAGGAACTCAGTGTTATTGCTCTGGCTCGTAATGTTACGAGCCAGAGCAAACTACCTGTAACACTGAGTGCCATAGGAAATCTATTTATTCAGATGGTCATATCTCAGCCAATACTTAACCTATTCAATTGATTTTCGACAGTTGTACATTATTTTTGATGTTCTTTTGGAAAATGAAGTTAAAATTGAAAAATTCTCAAAACAGTTTTTTGATGACATCACACTTCACCGCTCTATAAGGCTTCCAATCTGTTTGCATTGATAAGTCCTTATCCTACTAACACTAAAATTTATAAAACCAGAAATATGCATTTGCTATTAATGTATTAAAGGTGTTCATAACTCTGGATTTCATGTGCACAATACTCTTAAGTCAGAAGGTTTGATGCTATGGTTCAGTGAGGTAAATTCTAGCATTTATTAAAATTGGCTCTTAAAAAAAATGACTTATTTTTTTACTATCAATTAAACTTGGGAAAGGTTAGATATTGATTATTGATCAGAACAATGTCAATCTTTCAAACATTTGAATTTCAATTGAATGAGTACATGTGTAGTTTGCTTTAATTCAATGTTTCATGACTGTTCCAATATACAGAGTGAATGGCCTTCAAAAAAGGGTGTTTGGAGAAAAAAACATATATACATGTGCACTTTACAACTTTTACTGCTGTTTCTGTCATACAATGACCCTCCATGACATTTACATTAGGACACACATACCTGTATGAATGATGCCTTTGCTTTCAATGTAGAGTAGAACTCCTCATAGATACGCCCACTAAGTGTCAGTTTAGTCAGGTTTGGCATAGAACACAGTGCTTCTGCAAAGCGATGTGAAGAGGCTGGTTCGAAACACAGGAAACCATCAATCTTGAGAGTCTGGACCTGCATTGTTTGTGATTATATTTAAGCATCACGTCTATACATGCATATGTTTTACTCACTAATTTCTGACTGTATTCCAACATTTCAGCCAAATTCCATTAATTTCATAGTTTTATTCATAATCACATTCGCAACAAAAATTATTGAATAGATTTTGTTTTCAAATTCAATTCTTGTCTATTGAGAAAAAGAGGATTATTTAGTAAAGATAATTTTTTTGAATATCCTTATGTATTCTTTATAGGGCTTTCAACCTGTTTGCATTAATAAGTCCTTCTCCTACTTACACTGAAATTCATAATACCAATAAATATACAATTGCTATTAATGTATTAAAGGTATTCACAACTCTGGATTTCATATGCACAAGACCCCTAAAGTCAGGAGGTTTGTTGCTATGGTTCAGTTTGGTAAATTCAAGCTTCTATAAAAAAAAAAAATGGCTCTTAAAAACCATATGACATATTTTTATTATCAATCAAACTTGGAAAAGGTTGAATTTTGATTATTAGTCAAACCAATGTCAATCTTAGACACACTTGAATTTCAACTGAATCAGTACATGTGTTGTTTGCTTTATTCCATGTTTCATGACTGTTCTAAAGGGTAATTGGAGAAGGAAAAAACACATACCAGTATGTACATGTGCCCCATATAACTATTACTGCTGTTTCTGTCGATCAATGAACCTCCATGACATTTACACTAGGACACATACCTGTATGGATGATGCCTTTGCTTTCAATGCAGAATAGAACTCCCCAGTGAGATTACTATCAAGTGTCAGGTCAGTCAGGTTGGGCATATAACACAGTGCTTCTGCTAGGAGATGTAATGAGGCTACTGTGGGACAATGGAGCCCATCAAGCTTGACAGTCTGGACCTGCATTGTTTGTCAATATATTTGAGTAGCACATCTATACATGCATATGTTATATTTACTAATATAATATAACATAATAACATTCTAAACAAAAATGATCGAATAGAATTTCTTTTCAAATTCAATTCTTGTCTATTGAGAAAGAGAACACAATAAAGTTTCTATGGAGAGGATGATTTAGTAAGAGCGATTTAAAAAATGTCTATACATCTTTCTACGACAGGGGGGGGGGGGGGGTAGGGCATTTCAAGTGAAGTGTATTGAATACTATGGTTATTTATATTTTTTGAAAATTCACTCATTTCCATATTCATGGTAATTTATGCAAATAAGATGATGAAATTCACATTTTTAACATTATATCTTATATTGGTCATACTTAAACATTCGTTTTCATTACATATCTTCTTTAGACTATTTGGAATAATAATACAACCAAACTATAGGGATGTTCGACTGCACACAGTCGAAAATGATACCACCGCCATACATCAATAACAAAATTAATTTTCAAAATTCAAGTTTGATTGTAATGATAAATCCATTAACAGGTTCTCAGCATATCGTGATTAAAAGCTATTTTTCATATACATGTATGACCCTTAGAACTTTGACCTCATGTCCCTAAAATCTAATCAGTTCATTGTCTCTGCAAGAAACATACATGTCCCAAGTTTGATAGTAAATTAGTAATCAATCCGTCAGTATTGAAATTGCGTTCACAAGCTATTTTTTGCATACATAATTAGCCCCATGACCTTTGACCCCAAATCTGATCAGTTCATTGGATCTGCATGATAAATACATGTCCCAAGTTTGGCGGTATCCATCAATCGGTTCTTGAGATAACGCAATCACGAGAATGGGACGAACAGACGGACAACCAGAAACATAATGCCTCCGGCTACCTTATAGCGGAGGCATAAAAATGAGTGTTAAATAAACACCAACATGGAATTTAAAGAAAGTGATGGAATCGAATCGGTTTAATCCTTATCGATGTTGATCAATTACCTATCAGGTGTCACATTTATACTATCATAGATAATATACAGTGGTAATGTTATTAACACCCTGGTGTATATATACATTTTTTGCCAAAAAAAAGTAAAGAATCATAAATGCCAACATATTGTCATCTGGCCTACCCCTCCAGCCAAAACGGTATACAACAATATAACTAGAAATATCGCAATGTAAATGTATCCTTGCAGTGGCAGCAATTTTGTGTCATCCTTATGTTCGAAGGAGGGACAAAGATCACCTCTCCCCTCCCTGAAACAAAAGGATGGCATAGAGAGGTCGCCACAAGTGGCTTGGACTATTGTCAAGACTAGGAGCAACATCACCAAAACAATATGTGTGTAGATTAGAGTATAATACATGTCTGTAGAAAATTTGAAATGTGGCCGTTAGAGCGCATAAAAGACATATGACCTTTGACCATATAAGAGACGGAACAATGAGGGCAGCATTGCAAGTAGTAGATGTGTAGATTGTACGATACATCTCCATACAAAATTTGAAAGAAATTCGTCAAGAAATATGTCCTGCAGAGAGCACATTAAACACTCACCAAAATATGACCTTTGACCCTATAAAAAATGGGACACTGGTGGCAGCATCACCCAAAACTATAGGTGCATAGATTTTACCAACATACACTCCATACTCAATTTGAAAGAAATCTGATGCAGTTAGACCACACACTAGAGTGCACACAAGACATCTATAAAAATATGACCTTTGACCCTATAAAAGACGGAACACTGGAGGCAGCATCACCAAAATCTTTAGGCTTGTAGATTATACCAAGATACACCTTCGTTTAAAATTTGAACAGAATACACGATGTCATTGTTAACTATATTTTGCATGTACTGTAAATCCAAATACAAAAGCATGGAGGACAATGATGTACAAATCTCTTTGGTGTTAACAAAGTGTCCGAGAACAATCAATATATGACATTATTTAGGTGGATCTTTCATATCTTTCATCTTTTATATTGGAATTGACCAATTTGGCTTTCGAAAAGGGGTCGGTACTCGAGAAGCAATCGCTGTGATGAGAATACTAAGTGAGAGATGTATACAGCATGATCAGGACCTATATATCTGTTTTGTGGACTACGAAAAGGCATTTGACCGTGTCAATTGGACTAGGCTGATGGAAGTGCTGTCAGCCATGGGTGTTGATTGGAAAGACCGTAGATTGCTTGCATCCTGTACATGTCTCAGACTGCTAGCGTCCGCGTTGGAGATGGGGTCTCTGAACCAGCCGTCATTGGACGTGGAACACGTCAGGGATGCCTTCTGTCTCCTCTTCTCTTCAATATCTATGCAGAGGCAATGGTAAGAGAAGCTCTGGCGATGTTAGAAGAAGGAGTGATCGTTGGAGGAGTGTTGATTAGGTCTGTACTTTATGCTGATGATCAGGCCACACTCGCTGTCACTGCCGATGGTCTTCAAAGACTGATGGTACAGATGGATCAAGTGGTCAGGAGATATGGCATGAGAATCAACGAGAAGAAAACGAAGGTGTTGATGATAAGTAAAGGCAAGACAAAAGAAATAACTATCATGATAAATGGCAACAGACTAGTGCAAGTCAACCACTTCAAGTATCTAGGCAGTGTGCTGACTAAGGATGGCAAGTCTGCCAAAGAGGTCAACTTGCGCTCAGCTCTGGCAAGAGCTGCCTTCTTTCAAAGACAAGATATCTTGATGAGCCACAACATTGACCTTAGTTTGAGAAAGCGGCTTGTGAAGTCTCTAGTATGGAGTGTACTGCTGTATGGGGCTGAGACGTGGACACTCACTAAAAAGGACATGCAGCGTTTGGAGGCGGTCGAAATGTGGTGCTGGCGCAAATTACTAGGTGTGTCTTGGAGGGACAGAGTTTCGAATGAAGAGGTGTTGCATCGAGCTCAAGAAAGGCGGGTGCTGATTCAAACGATTAGAGAGAGACAGAAGAAATGGCTTGGACACATAATGCGGCATGATGAGGGCTTGATGCTCAGAGTCATAGAAGGTCGTATTCATGGAAAGAAGAAGAGGGGAAGACCTCGTAAAGGCTTTCTAGACGATGTAATCACACAATGTGGAGCGACGGGGTATGAGACGATGAAACGGTTGGCTCAAGACCGAGGAACTTGGAGAGGGGCTTGGAGAGACACTTGATATGGAATTTTTAATGGGTCACTGAACCTGTCATGAACTGACAGATCACTATTGATGATGATCTTTCATTGTTATGATTATTCACAGTTATCTGCATGAAAAGTCATAAGAGATTATTGTGACTAACAACCGTTATTCTTGTCACCCTAAACTCTGCACCAATATCAATACCAATATATCATATCGACTCTGTCTTCAATTGCATACAGATATTATATTACTTTCATTTCAATCTATACATCTGACACAATTATACATGTCATTGATGAAACATTTATTTGATCGAGAGAGCGGTTGTTTAGTTAGCAATTCTGAACCCATCATTGTGTAAATATAATATCACACAATTTACACTTCTATTCCACCTTTTATCAGCAAGGAGGTTTTGCAGGAATAATGTAAACAACAGAGCTAGATGAAAAGACCAAGGAGTTACCGGTATAGGATTTTACAGAACTCCTTGGAAAGACCATGCAGGGAATCAAAAGACATAATTTGAAAGACAAAAGTTGAGAGAGAGAGAGAGGGGGCGAGAGCTGGCTCACCACAAATCCCATTACATAACAAATGAACAATAAAATTGGACAATTTTTTCCTCCAACATTCCTTTCCCAAAAGTTTCAGTGCCCACATGCTGGTCTCATTCAGACTTATTTTTGGAGTCTGAACAGGACTTTAATATTTCACTCATGAGGTCTGTCTTCATCAGCTCGAGATTGTCAAATAGCCCGCTATTTCTGATTCGGGAAATAATCCCAAAGTTACAAATCGCGTCTTCAATAGCTTGAGACTTGACCTTGAAACTTTAAACTCATGTTCGAGAAATTAGGTCGAGATATTTTGCTCGTTATTTCTAAATTTGCCAAAAACAAAGCGCCTGGAAGTGATGGCCTGAATGTTGAGTTTTATAATTTTTTTGGGACAGAAGTTAAATGTTTGCTTGTAAACTCACTAAACGAGGGATTTGAAAATAATGAACTTTCTAACACGCAGAGACAAGCCAGAATTAAGTTATTACACAAAAAAGGTGATCAAACTAATTTAGAAAATTTTAGACCAATTAGTGTATTACGGTATGTCACTGAAACAGCTCCTGTAGGATTTTTGTGCGAAAGTTGATTTTTTTGCTGTTTTGGCTTCAAAAGGGTCCCAATTGACCAAAAATAATGGGGTTCAAATTTTCAGACCCCTCCTTCATTTCCTGGGGGGTCCTAGACCGGGAGCCAGTGGGGGTCAACCTAGCTGGGAAGGAAACCAATTTTAATGTGCACAGATGTAAAGATCGCATAGCTCCACATAAAAAAATGACCGTCTGGCATGTTCTAAGTGGTGGGAGTGGCCAGAGGGACGCCCCCACCAAAAAAGTGTCCCTTTTGACGACAAAATAGTATTATGTAAATAATATTTGAAGGGAACCTTGAACCACCATGAGTTTGGTGTCATATGAAAGAGAGTTAAATTATCTACATTTTGATACCAATTTCAAAGAATTTGGGATTAATTAACATCGCAAATTTAAGTAAAAAACATGATTTTTCATATATCAAAATTGGAGAATTGCATTTTTTTCATAACTTTCCAGGAATTCGCTTATGTACAACGAAAAAATCTTGTGCGAGGGAGAGGTTGATATTTTTTTTTATTTCCACAAAAACAACATTTTTGCCCACATGTGTAATAACTGTATGCATATACGTGCATTAGTGTATTAAGGACCTGTTTGGTGTGTTTACATCGAGTTTTAAAGACAACTTTAAACTAAAACCTCTAATCACCATGTACAGTATTTGGTGTCAAAAGATGGATAATTAAAATACC